TCTTTGTATCCATCCAGCCAGTCTGTGTCTTTTGGTAAAAATGGAAGATAATAGCAAATAAAACAACTGATAAAGGATTGCTTTCCAAAATATACAAGAAGCTCATACAACCCAATCATCAAAGCAAAGGCAAGAACTGCAAAAATAAACTAGTGGGACCACATCAAACTCAAAAGCTTCTGCATAGTAAAAGAAGTTATCAAAAAAATCAAATGGCAACCTATGGAATGAAAAAAATATTTCCAAATCACATATTTGGTAAGAGCTTCATATCCATGTATATATAAGAGATTCATGCAACTCAGTGGGAAAAAAAAATCAAATAACCCAAATTATTAAATGAGCAAAGGAAGAGTAAGTGTTTTGAAAAATCTGAAGATTAGACTGTGTAGATGACAGACTCTGTAAGTTTTTCCTTCCAGAACAAAAGCCTGTGTCTTTCTGGTATTGCTTTCTTTACTTCCAATCACCTGTTTGGTGATTGCAGTTCATAGTATACATCCTTCACTCAATAGCAATCACCCTATACTGAGCTATATGTGCTAAGAATAGCCCTATTAACTATAAAAAGCTAATAATTATATACTTAATCTTGAGGCATCTAAAATCCAAGGTGATTTTCAGAATTTTCCACTCCATTGTTTTCTACACTCTATGTCAAAATTGAAACATCTAGTAAGGAAAAATGAGTTAGGGGACCTCAATACCACATGGATAGAAAGTCATTTAAAACTGGGAGCATTACTGGATTATAATTCAGGGGAATGTATTATTACTAATAGTTATTAGTAATAACTATTATTATTACTAATAGTACTGTAATTTTATTCCCTTTAATTCTCTGCTATACTAGGTTGATATTTATTTAAAATATTAATACCAACATAGAGACACATAGTACTCACGTTACAGAGATTGAGAAAGACAAAGCTTATGAGGCAGGAAGTGAAATCACAAAAAATTAGCAATGGTATCAAAACAAGGGGCAGTATTGCCTAGAAAGAAAGCAGAGTTCTCTAATTTTTTGGAGACAACATGAACAAGCCAGATGTGAGCCAACCAGCTTAAGCTGTATACCAGAAACTGCACCAGAAGGAAAATGAAGTTCATAAAAATATGCTGATGCTAAAAGCCAAAATCCAGACAGTAAGAGAATAGGGAAGGGTATATGTAGATGCTGAAAACTACTCAGAGAGGTAGACATGGAAGCAAATATACTAATAAGCATCAGAAAAGTCAAAGCACAAAAGGGTCTGAAAAATAAATCATAAAGAGACTTGGTAGTATGATCAAAAGAATAATAGAATCAAATTAGAAAACCAAAATATAAAGAGTTGTGCACATGATAGAACCAGAGAATGCTCAGGAAAGAAAATTTCAGACTTAGTGGGCCACGAACAGAAGCCTCCAGCATTGGGAACAAAAACCCTGGCCAGGACTCATGACTCTGCGCTTCTGGGAACAGCCTCAAAGTTTGGGCACTATACCACCTAAAAGCAAATGCAGACAAGGATTATAGCTTGCTATGACACTGAATCACAGACAATAGTGTGTGTTAGTTTATTTTTCTCATTCAACTATAAAGTTAATGAATCACTAACCAATGATAAATGACACCATCAGCTTCCAGTCAGATCCTCTTTAGTCATACAATGGATATCTGAACCTGTTATATGATCCCAATAACACTTTTAATAATTAAATTTATTGATGTTTAATTGAAGGGTAATTGCGGGGGGAGAAATATCAATAACCTCAGATATGCAGATGACACCACCCTTATGGCAGACAGCGAAGAACTAAAGAGCCTCTTGATGAAAGTGAAAGAGGAGAGTGAAAAAGTTGGGTTAAAGCTCAACATTCAGAAAACTAAGATCATAGCATCTGGTCCCATCACTTCATGGCAAATAGATGGGGAAACAGTGGAAACAGTGGCTGACTTTATTTTTCTGGGCTCCAAAATCACTGCAGATGGTGACTGCAGCCATGTAATTAAAAGACGCTTACTCCTTGGAAGGAAAGTTATGACCAACCTAGACAGCATATTAAAAAGCAGAGACATTACTTTGCCAACAAAGGTCCGTCTAGCCAAGACTACGGTTTTTCCAGTAGTCATGTATGGATGTGAGAGTTGGACGGTGAAGAAAGCTGAGCGCCAAAGAATTGATGCTTTTGAACTGTGGTATTGGAGAAGACTCGAGAGTCCCTTGGACTGCAAGGAGATCCAACCAGTCCATCCTAAAGGAGATCAGTCCTGGGTGTTCGTTGGAAGGACTGATGTTGAAGCTGAAATTCCAGTACTTTGGCCACCTGATGTGAAGAGCTGACTCATTTGAAAAGGCCCCGACGCTGGGAAAGATTGAGGGCAGAAGGAGAAGCGGACAACAGAGGATGAGATGGTTGGATGGCATCACCAACTCAATGGACATGGGTTTGGGTGGACTCCGGGAGTTGGTGATGGACAGGGAGGACTGGTGTGCTGCAGTTCATGGGGTTGCAAAGAGTTGGACACAACTGAGAGACTGAACTGAACTGAAATTGCTTTACAATACTGTACTGCTTTTGGCCAAAGATCAACATGAATCAGCCATAGGTATATCTATGTCCCCTTGTTCTTGAAGCTCCTTCCCACCTTCCTTCCTATTGCACCCCTTGAAGTTATTACAGAAAACTATGGAAGGCTTCACAAATTTTTGTGTCATCCTTGGGCAGGGGCCATGCTAATCTTCTCAGTATTATTCCAATTTTTTAATATATATGCTACCAAAGCAAACAAAAAACATTTCAACAGAAAAAAAAATCATATAGTTAGTCATCTACCAATAAATGATCAATTACATTAGGAATTAGGGTATTCTGCTATATTTACTGCCTCTTATAAAACTGAATTTTGGTAAGGTCCAAAGTTCCATGTAGGAATTAAGCATATATTTATGAATAACACATGTATACATGCACAGAAATATATGCACACAAATATGTCTGTTATACAAGTTATTACTCTCCTTGCCTGTCACAATAAGTTCTTTAGTTGATGAGAGAGATAGTCCCAAATTTCTCCAACTTATATGTCTTCTTTTTGAGAACCACTTCTTTTATTTTCAAAACCTAATTTTATGTTTTTTTCATTTATTTTTATTAGTTTTAGGCTAATTATTTTATAATATTGTAGTGGTTTTTGCCATACATTGGCATGAATCAGCCATGGATTTACATGTGTTCCCCATCTTGAACGCCCCTCCCACCTCCCTCCCCATTCCATCCCTCTGGGTCACCCCAGTGCACCAGCCCGAAGCACTTGTTTCATGCATCCAACCTGGACTGGAGATCTGTTTCACACTTGATAATATACATGTTTCAATGCTGTTCTCTCAGATCATCCCACCCTCACCTTCTCCCAGAGAGTCCAAAAGTCTGTTCTATACAACTGTGTCTCTTTTTCTGTCTTGCATATAGGGTTATCATTACCATCTTTCTAAATTCCATATATATGTGTTAGTATACTGTAATGTTCTTTATCTTTCTGGCTTACTTCACTCTGTATAATGGGCTCCAGTTTCATCCATCTCATTAGAACTGATTCAAATGTATTCTTTTTAATGGCTGAGTAATATTCCTTTGCGTATATGTACCACAGCTTTCTTATCCATTCATCCACTGATGGGCATCTAGGTTGCTTCCATGTCCTGGCTATTATAAACAGTGCTGCGATGAACACTGGGGTGCACGTGTCTCTTTCAGTTCTGGTTTCCTCAGTGTGTATGCCCAGGAGTGGGATTGCTGGGTCATCTGGCAGTTCTATTTCCAGTTTTTTAAGGAATCTCCACACTGTTCTCCATAGCGGCTGTACTAGTTTGCATTCCCACCAACAGTGTTAAGAGGCTTCCCTCTTCTCCATACCCTCTCCAGCATTTATTGCTTGTAGACTTTTGGAAAGCAGCCATTCTGACTGGCGTGTAATGGTACCTCATTGAGGTTCTGATTTGCATTTCTCTGATAATGAGTGATGTTGAGCATCTTTTCATGTGTTTGTTAGCCACCTGTATGTCTTCTTTGGAGAAATGTCTGTTTAGATCTTTGGCCTATTTTTTGATTGGGTCATTTATTTTTCTGGAATTGAGCTGCAGGAGTTGCTTGTGTATTTTTGAGATTAATGCTTTGTCTGTTTCTTCATTTGCTATTATTTTCTCCTATTCTGAAGGCTGTCTTTTCACCTTGTTTATAGCTTCCTTTGTTGTACAAAAGCTTTTAAGTTTAATTAGGTCCCATTTGTTTATTCTTTTTTTATTTCCAATATTCTGGGAGGTGGGTCATAGAAGATCTTGCTGTGATTTATATCAGAGAGTGTTTTGCCTATGTCTCCCCTAGGAGTTTTCTAGTTTCTGGTCTTACATTTAGATCTTTAATCCATTTTGAGTTTATTTTTGTGTATGGTGTTAGAAAGTGTTCTAGTTTCATTCTTTTACAAGTGGTTGACCAGTTTTCCCAGCACCACTTGTTAAAGAGGTTGTCTTTTTTCCATTGTATATTCTTGCCTCCTTTATCGAAGATAAGGTGTCCATAGGTACGTGGATTTATCTCTGGGCTTTCTATTCTGTTCCATTGATCTATATTTCTGTCTTTGTGCCAAGACCATACTGTCTTGATGACTGTGGCTTTGTAGTATAGTTTGAAGTCAGGCAGGTTGATTCCTCCAGTTCCACTCTTCTTTCTCAAGATTGCTTTGGCTATTCGAGATTTTTTGTATTTCCATACAAATTGTGAAATCATCACTTAATTTTAAATAACCATTTTATTCTTAGATACCATGCCCCCTTTAAACTAAGAGCAGAGAAATCGTAGTAAATGCTGATATCTTATCCTTCATTAAATTACCACTCTTGCGGTAAACTGGAAAAAGAATCATATTCAGATCTCATGCAGGTGGATAAAATCTGTATTTTATCAGTTCTCTTGTCCAAACTCAATTCTCGCTTACTTCAGTCTTAAATTCTTCTTACTTACAAAGGATGGACAGGAAAAGAAGTATTAAAATTACTCTTGTAAGAGTGTATGATTTTATGCTTCTGTTGGCCAAAGGTAGGGCCAGGAATAATTTCTGAAATATTACAATACATCATGGAAGCCTGAAGGTCTAGTTCTACTGTCAAAGAGGAGATGTTCGGAGATGGTTCGAAAACAGCCCCATGGTTGTCAGGATGTGCTCCCGACCAGACAGATGGATTTTCTCCCTGAAACATCACAGTCAGGAAAGGCCAGGCCATGTCCGCAGAGCCAGTGATGGCGTCCTGGGTGCTGAGCAGGTAAGTTTCTTGGATGACCATCTCAAGATTTACCTGCCATTGTCTCAAAGAAACAAACATAATGAGAAGATTAAAGATGCATAAAAGTAGAAGAGCTGTCACGTTGCCTAGAAGAAAGTCTAGCCAGGAGAACCAGGCCCCCACACTGATAATTGTCAAAGACTTTAACAGTGAGTGTTTTATAGACAGAGCAGAACAAGTGGATAAAACCAATGTTCTAGGGTCACTGCTGCTTTGCAGTCAAAGACAAAATATTTTTCACTTTAAGCCGAGTCATCACAGCTCCTGATGTGGTCCTGCTTACACACATGCAGACCAGGAGCCCACAGGCATGTGTGATGTGACATCAGGAAGTGAACAGATGACTGCATTGGTGCCCAGTCACCTCCATCTGCTAATAATGGGACCTGGGGAAAATTATTTGCCCTCTCCAAGTCATTGCATCTTCATTAACATAACTTGATGATCATAGTGAAGATGAAGGCTATCTCACAGAGCTACTGTGAAACACACATTTTAAGATGTTTTAGAGCTTTTGGGAAAGCATCAAAGCCCTGCATGGGCTTACGAAGCTGAGTTAGCAGCCCCAAGGCACGGTGTCCTTTTTCTCTGAGTCTTCTCTCTGTGCTCAGTAGCAACGATCAGTCAGTCACGTGTTTACTCTTACCCCAGCGTGATAGTAAACCACACAGATCAACTGTACACTTCTTGTCATTTCAGTGTCTATAATTCAAGCACTAGTCAAGGTAGAGTAAAAAAGTTACACACTCCTAGAGGGCCTGGCTGCTCAGAGTCTGCAGAGTCCCAACATTAAACTGTCTTAAAAGAATGGCCTAAACACTCTGGCTCAGAATTAAGTTCCAAATGTTTGCAGAGCACAGAAGCATTTCTGGGAGCAATACAAAAATGCAGGGAGTAACCTACTTCTCCAACTATCTATCTGTGCAAATGTCATCATCCATCTAAATTCACACAGAAGGCGCTCCTTCCCCACCCCAGCTACTACAGCACCAGCTCCTGCTCAGAGCAACAGGGAAAGAGAAGGCTTCCCCCCACAGGATGGATTTGATAACCGCAGGTGACTAGATCATCTCAGAATGGCTCATATTTTTATTTAAGCAGGGTCCCACCTGCTCCTGCTGCTGGTCATGTCAAATCTGCTCTTGTGCCAAGGCAACTTCTGCACATCCCTCTGTCCTCACGGGAATGACCTCTGCCTGAACTCCCTTAAAGACCTGTTTACCCATGCCACCAACCTGTCCCACGACATCTATAACCTCTCCTCGAAAATGTTCAATGAGTTTTTAAGTACTGCGGTGGTGGTGGTTTAGTTGCTAAGTCGTGTGTGACTCTTGCAACCCCATGGACTGTAGCCCGCCAGGCTCCCAGAAGGAACCTTTGCGGAAGTGACTGGAATATACTATCCTTTAGACAAGAAGGCTACATCAGCCAAACTTCAAATAACACACTCTCTAGGTCAAAGAAGCCGTCAGCTCATAAGATGTGGAAATCGAAGAAAGGATCAGTTTTGTGAAATCTCAAAGACTCCTAAGGAGTGCAATAACTTTTTCAATTTCCTTTCATTCATTTTCTTTCTTAAATTTCCAAAATAAGTGATTTTGTATTTGTCAGCTAGGAATGCCATGGAATAATACAATAGACTCACTGGAATATACAACAGAAATTAAGATTTGCAGGGAATAGGTTTAGAGCTACAATAGAAGGAGGGTTTACAACTGGAAACAATTATTCTCTTTTTGATGAAGATATTTGAAAGTTGTATGTTAATTCTTTTAGGTCAATCAAGGAGCACACAGTAGAGCAGAAAACTAATAAAAAAAAATGGTGCTAAAGGTTTCTATTACATTCATGTCATTCTTTTTCAGTTCAGCTCAGCCGCTCATTCGTGTCCAGCTCTTTGTGACCCCATGAACTGCAGCACGCCAGGCCTCCTTGTCCATCACCAACTCCCGGAGTTTATCCAAACTCATGTCCATAGAGTCAGTGATGCCATCCAACCATCTCCTCCTCTGTTGTCCCCTTCTCCTCCTGCCCTCAATTTTCCCAGCATCAGGGTCTTTTCAAATGAGTCAGCTCTTCGCATGAGGTGGCCAAAGTACTGACATTTCAGCTTCAACATCAGTCCTTCCAATGAACACCCAGGACTGATATCCTTTAGGATGGACTGGTTGGATCTCCTTGCAGTCCATGGGATTCTCAAGAGTCTTCTCCAATACCACAGTTGAAAAGCATCAATTCTTTGGTACTCAGCTTTCTTTATAGACCAACTCTCACATCCATACATGACTACTGGAAAAACCATAGCCTTGACTAGACGGACCTTTGTTGGCAAAGTAATGTCTCTGCTTTTTAATATGCTATCTAGGTTGGTCATAACTTTCCTTCCAAGGAGTAAGCGTCTTTTAATTTCATGGCTGCTTTATTCACTAGTTTTTCTTTCATCCTCCATTTTTGACTCTCCATGTTTTTTCCAACTCTTCCAAGTAATCTTTTTAAATGTTAATAACTTTCACTAAAGATTAGTTTTTCTCTGTCAATGTGTTATCTAGATTTTTCTACTCTTATTATTCTCAGTCCATTGTTTAGTATTTCCTATAACTTTATGCCATGCTTTTCTGAGGTACCATTTTGTCACCATAAACAACATTGTATTCTGCACCTAGGATGAGCACTAAGCTTTTTGGTGTGCGGATTCAGAGATAAGTTGAAGTCATAACTGTATAATTCCTTATAAGGGAATATATTGGCTCCAACCCACAGTAAACAAGAGATTAAATGGTTAAATATAGGTGCGTGCATGCATTCTAAGTCTCTTCAGTTGTGTCCGATTCTTTGCAACCCTACTGACTGTAGCCCAACAGGCTTCTCTGTCCATAGGATTCACCAGGCAAGAATACTGGAGTATATTTCTGTACCCTCTTGCAAGGGATGCTCCACACCTAGGGATCAAACCTGAGTCTTCTTATATCTCCTGCATTGGCAGGAATGTTCTTTACCACTATTGTCATGTGGGAAGCACCAAATATTGGTACATATGTAGTATAGTTGGTTCAAATACTAAATTTAAAAAAAGATAATAATAAAACAGAGAAGGGAAAAGGTTGAACTTAGAAAAGTTAGATGAAAAATCATTTTTTATAGAGACAATGTAGAGAAAAAGTAGGAAGAGAATGACTTTCAGATTTTGTGACCCCCCCCATTAAAAAAAATTACACATCTATCAAACATGTTATCATTCTGGTAATGGGTTCATCTACTAAATGGCCAAAAACCCTAACTAACTGCCTGATCACTTTCAGGATGAACGGTATGCCCAGGGCAGAAAATACTATATCACCACCACCAACAGCTGCCATACCACTTCCCTCCATGCCCCTGAGGAAAAAGAACAAGTCCAACACATGCACATGAGTCTTTCACCTGGGTTTTTCACCAGATCAAATGAGACAGTATATTGGTGTTACCAAGAATCAGATTATTAGAGGTAATGGTAACTGTACATGTAGAGAAAGGTGGAGGAACCGTAAACAATTGAAGAGAAGTTATATTATGCAGTTGATGAAGAATGAGTGAAATCAAGGGATAACTAAAGATCTATAGTAGCAAAAAAAATAACAGATCTATAAATTGTCCATGCAGACAACTTTAGTTCAACCAATGCATTAGACACAGGATTGCAGCTATTACACTGTATGAAAACATGAAATGAATGGAACTTCCATGTGTAAAATATAAGATTGCAAAATTCATGAACATGTAAGAAACACACCCCAGTCTTGGGTATACTCCCTGTGACTAGTGACTCCTACACGGAGTCCTATTCTGCACCACTGAGCCAGCGCGTCTGCCTTCAAGGCTCTCCTGATTCTGCTTCTACCTCCTTCATTCATCATTCTCAATGACCCCTCTGTCACCTTTTATTCTTAATTTGTAAGTCTCCCCCACAATGGCCTATATAACATTGCTTTGCTTCTCATGGCCCCAACAATTGCCTCTGTTCTGAGGACCACACAGTTTACATATCAAGCCTCAATCATTTATGGCAGCTCCAAATTTTCACCATTATAATCTCTCCTTTTTGATTTCCTGCATTATCCTTCATCCTAACATTATTTAAAATATTTTCACATGCATCCCCCCCTTAAAATACTATCATCTCTCTCTACAACTTTCTTAATGATACCAGCATTCTTTTCCTCTGTTAAGCTCATTAATAATGAGGATGATCAAGTAAAGGAAAAAGGTCAAAGAGGAGGAGGAGGAGGGATTTTTCAATAAGCTTGAATTTAAAGTTTATTGAGAGTTACTATATGGCCATACATTTTACTAAGCACTTTATGTGCATTACTATATTTAATCCTATTCAGTTCTCTGTTCTTTACCACTAAAACAGTTCATGGCTGTAAAGAAATCAAGCCTATTAATTAGAGGTCTTCAGCCCCCAGGATTTTCATGCTCAATTTTTCTAGTAGTAGTGAACTAGCAGGATAAACCCTCCTTTGTGAATCCCACTGATGTTGTTACCAAAGACAATGCTGTGTCATTTTCTGCCCGGACACATGTCAACAAGACAGACTCTTCTGATACCAGCATGGGGGCTGGTGTTGGGATCAACTGAGGAAGAAAGCCTGTTTAGGAATGTCATGTCTTCTTCATTGCCTCTTTGTTGTAATATCATAAAACCAATTACCAATCGAAAATCAATACAAATGACTCATCTGATTCATTAATACGAAAGAATCACTGGGTGACAATGATGTGGGCACAGGTAGAATGCCTCTTTCCTGGGTCAGGTACTGCAGGCACATACTGACTTGTCATAAAATACTTAGATTTCTCTCACGCAAACATGCAAACATAAAAGAATTCACTGAGTGGGTGGTAGGATTTCAGAGGAAAAAAGAAAATTCTTCATGTTATAAATTAGAACTCATCAGAAGAATTAGTTACTAAAATAGCCTAGATTTTAAATAATTCAGCGAAGTGTGAACTAACAGCTT